GGTTCTACAACTATCCTTAGATTTTGATGATTACAAAGTGTAGAGAATAATTTTGTACACTGGCTATTCTTGTTAAGTGCGCAGATAAAAGAAAATAGATTCATACTTTGAAGTAGTCAAATCTGAATGCATACAAAGTATGAAGAAAGCATATTCTAAGTGAAGACACACTTTGAACAAAAGGAAAAATACAAAGGCATGTTTAAAACAAAATCAAACTTCAGGATTATCAAGGTCAAGCTCTTGCAAGGAATTATTCAAAATGGTTATGACAAAAGACTCTGATAGATCAAGCATCTGAACTCTACTCAAGCTTTATCAAATCTTATTAGAAGTCTTTGACTAAAAGTCAGTAATCAGAGGGAATGCTTATATAAAATAGTCAAAGTATCTAAATAAATCAAGTAAACGCTTATGCATTTCTTGTTCAAATTTACTCAAAACTTTGGTACTTTCAAGCCGCACTCTGAATAGACTTTGTAGTCTATATCATCTAGGCTCTAGACTGTGATCAAGCTTCACTTCATCTCTCATATGAAGCCTTTGATTATGATGAGAAATATGTTCAAGGAAAGTACAATTAAAAGGGATATGCTTAAAAGGATGGATATGCCATATCTTCAAAGATTGTACTCCATACTAAAGTAGCTTCTCACGTCCCATCATCACCAACTCTTTACTACAAGTGCCACTCTACTACTATCTATGAAGTGACCTTCATACAACATACACTTTTAGGACAATTCCTATTATACCCTCCAACAGATCTATTTCTCTTCTATATATTTAGAGGAAGAAGAATATGGAAAGTGTGTGTGTCTGTATGTGCGTGTGTGTGTGTGTGTGTGTGTGTGTGTGTGTGTGTGTGTGTGTGGGTGCGTGAGTCTTCGCCTACACTGAATCTACAACACTATAACTCAAAGAGAGAAACAAAAAATCACAATAACAAAGAAAAATCATCTGTGCAGAAAAGAAGATATAAGAGAGAAACACTTAGAGCTTTTCATTGTATAACATTTTAAGTGTCTTTATTTGAACTATATTGTGTGTTATCTGCTTATTTGAGAAGCAATCTTTGTAAATACAACAACCAAATTCTTAACCTTGGTTAAGTCCTTGAATGACTAGTTTTAGTCTGAATACTCAAGAAGTCTTAGACATTTGGTCTTTGAGGTTATTTCCTTGATAAACTAGAGTATAATCAGAATTTATAAAGAAGACATTGACAATTAGTCTTTATGGTTGTAATCAGATTCATTATTAGATTAAGTCTTTTTCAAAGAAAAAATAACTCAGTGGGTGGACTCAATGTAACCTAGTTAACAGTAAACCAGGATAAAATTACTTGTGTTCATATCTTTATCTTTATCATTGATATTTGATACATTGGGTGGCTAAAAGTTTTAAATCCAGAAACTCTATTTAAACCCTCATTTCTTCTGTTTGTTGCACATTCACAAGGGTGGCTTAATTTTTCACCATGATAGCGTGTAAGTTGCACGAAATTCCACGTAGTATGGTATCATGCATGAGCCCCATTTTTATCATTCAGTTCTGGCAGGAGATCTTTCGCTTGAATATAACCAAACTTCGCATGTCAACTTCCTATCACCGACAAAGTGTTGGATAAACCCAAATTGTCAAAAAATATTGCAGTAGTAATTAAAAAGCTTTGTTCACAATAAGCCAAAAGAGTGAGGATCCTACCTCCATTGGGAAAATGACTCTACAACACAACACTGAATACCTCCATCGGGCTTACAACATTTCAAGTGGTGTATGGAAGAGCACCTCCATCCCTTTTAGATTATGTTGAAGACACTAATCACAAGTCATGGACACTAACTTGATGGAACGAACTGATGTGTTACAAGATCTAAAAAATAAGTTACTTAAGGCGCAAGAAACCATGAAGATAATTGCAAATCGAACAAGAATTCCTCATAAATTTGTTGTAGGGAGAAGAATTCACAAACTGTAAAAGCAATTTCATGACCTTTTTATGCTCGTAAAGGCGGTAGGAAAGGTTGCTTTTCTGTTAGAGTTGTCTCCTACCAGTAAGATACATTTTATGTTTCATGTATCCTTATTGAAATTCTGCTTTGACAACATTGTACCTGGACTTGAATTACCACCGAGCGCAGTAGACAACCAATCTCTAATTTGATCATTAGTTGTCTCAGATTGGCGTCTTCAAGAAGATGACAAGGGTAAACAAGTTTTGATAAAGTGGAAGGGTTTATTTCCAGAAGATGCAACTTGGAAAAACTACCATGACTAGGATTGTTCACAGTACAATTTATAGAGAAAACCGTACCGAACCGAATCAAACCATAATAAAAATTTATTTGAATTGAACCAAACCGTTTCAATTTACTTAGAACCGAACCGAACCGAACCAAAGTATTGGTTTGGTATACCGTTTAGAAATTCTAAACCGTACCGAACCGTTAGAAGACAATTTTTCCAAACCGAACTATTTATTAAAGAACCGAACCATTAAACTATTTTTCAAAATTTTAAAACAATAAAAATTTAAACTTGTTTTTAGTATTTTTAATTTTCAGTTTCGGTTCAGTTCGGTTACAGTTTTAGTTCGGTTCTGTTTCAGTTCGGTCTGGTTTTAGTACTGTTTCGTGTAATATGGTTTGGTTCACTAATCAAATATAACAGTTCAGTTATTTTAACTTCAATTTGATTCAGTTCAGCAGTTCAGTTTGGTGCATAGATTTTTTGAACAACCCTAACCCTGACATCTTGAAAAGTTACCCTGATTTCCACCTTGAGGCAAGACGAGTTTTGAAGACTAGGAATGTTATAAACCCAATAAAAGAGGAAGCCCAAGAAGAGTGGGGCGATGCATACAATGAAGAAGAAGAAGAATTGATCCCTCAACCAAGAGCCAAAAAACACACAAACATGTTCAAACATCTCTAGGATTTTGTTATGATTATGTGGCAGAAGAGAATAAGAAATGATTAGCATCTTTATCTAGAATATTCCTAGACTATGACTCACCAAGTTGTTATAGGGTCGGTCACTAAGTTTAAAGTGTACTAGTCTAAGATTGTGCTTTTTAAGTACTACCCTGTACAATGAATAAAAAAGAAATTTTATGCAATTAGTATTCTCTAGGGATTAACGGTAGTTGTACTTGCAATTTCCTAATAGATTCACAGCAACCATGGTCTGGTAGACAATATACATAGATAAATACAAATACAAATAACATAAATACAATATACGTATATATACTGTCATAAAACTAGCATATATCATCCAAAACCACTTAACACTTCTAGATACAATTGAAAAGTAAAATAACTTTTTGGTTTCATCATAAATGCAATTGTATGAATTTGAAAAGTAAAATAACATTTTGGTGTTTCATCATAAATACAATTGTATAAATAAAATGGTATCAACAATATTGCTTATATATGAAGAATGAGTTGATATAACTATGGACATTTCATTGATTCTTATTCATTTAGATTCTTACAAATAATGAAGAAAAAAATAACTTCTTTTATTTCTTTAGAAGAGAAAATTATAAGAATGTGATTTTGAAGTACAAAATTTAATTGAAAATGAAATGAAATTTTTGTAAGATTTTGGAAGTATGGTGATATGATTATGAAATGAAGAGTACATATAAAATATAGTGTTATATTCATTTTTCACATGGTAATTCAAATTAACTCTGTATTATCTATTTATAGTGGAAAAATAAATATACTATCATAAATTCTAAATATACCCCGGAGAAGAATTTACTATCTTAAGAATTAGTACAAAACTTAATTTCCATAACTTTCATTGAGTTGTGAAATAAACACACATCATAAATTTAAAATGTGTCAATGAATTTAATTCAGAATATAATCTACGGCCCTACATTTCCATCAATATAAAGATTAATTTCCATATTATTTTTTAACAAAATAAAATAACTCACATACAAAATATTTTAATATGTATGAAAGCCGTCTAGAGATAAACTTCCATAATAATTAAAAAACATTTCGAATTTTATAAGAGTAATTTTTCTCCCGGTAGATTATAGCAGCCCCTCTATCTAATATGGTCTAAGGGACCGGATGCATATATAGATACATATATAAATTACATAATAAAGTACATTAGTTTTAAGTCAAAAATTAAAAAATAATACTGTTGAAAAACTAGCATATATCATCCAAAATCTATTGAGTATATATATTTTATTCCGCTGAATCGGATCTGATATATACCGATACGTTGATATGTTTTAATGTGACGCCCGCTGAATCGGATCTGATAGAAAAATTTTGATACGACAGTAATATACCTCTGATATATCAGAGTTACATGACTTTTTAACTTTTAACTAATTTTTTTTCTTAATGACTTTTCATTTCTTTTAATTTTAATGGTCATTCTTTAATATCCTATTTATAATATCTTCAAGAAACTTACCATTTTACAAGAATGATTTAATTTCCCATGATTCTTTATCAATTTTCAATATTTTAAATTTAACTTATATTAAGTTTAATTTCCTTTTCACATATCATCTGCAAATGTCATTTTCTTCTTCATACTTTCATATTTTTCATTAAAAAAAATTATTACCATGATATGGTTGTCACTTTTATCTATCTAAAGTATTCTTAATAAATTCTTCCTCTCATTCTTTTATATGCGTATCTTAAATATATAGTATTTAATCTTTTTCAATTAATAACATATCGCTCTATCAAATACTTATCGTATCTGAAACTCGTGTTGTGTCCATGCTTCATAATCCAAAACCAAATAACAATTCTACATACAATTGAAGAGTAAAATAGCATTTTGGTGTTTCCTCATAAATACAATTGTATGAATAAAATGGTATCAACAATATTGCTTATATATGAAGAATGAGTTGATATAACTATGGACATTTCATTGATTCTTATTCATCCATATATAATATTCTATTCTATGGAAGTTAAATTATGCACCATTGTTGATATCTACCTGCTCCCTCCATTTCTCACTTTCACTTTCCCTTCAGGAATAGTAGCCACACCATTCTTATTAGAATTCATTCCCATTTTACTTGGAACAGAATGCCTTCTTGTACCAGAACCAGCACCAGAAGCTGTCAAAGAAAGCTGCTTCTTTGCAGGAGTACTTTGCACTTTGGTTTTAGTCTTTGAAACCTTTGTAGGTGAGTTTACAAGGATTTCATCTTCTTTCCCCGGAGACACCGCAATACTATGTCTTCGATTGCTTTCGGAATTCTTGTTGAGCATGGACTTTGAATCACCTTCACCACCCCAAGAACCACTTGATGATTTTTTTGCTTTTCCTTTAATAGGTATTGAAGCTAGAGTTTGATGACTTGGTTTTTGGCTTGTATGAGATTTTTTACTATCTTGATTTTGATCTCTTAGAGCATACAATTTGGAGATTTCTCCAACAGACATAGTGTTACATGCAGCACCTTTTCCTGATTGATGATTCTTTTCATCCTTTGTGTTTTGTCCTTCCCATGGCCTTGAATCCATCCATCTGTCAAGCCAATTCCACCCCCAATGAGGATTGTTTGGATCCATAATCGTCGTATCAACCGATTCCTTTGGAGTGTTCCTCCATGTTTGCTGTTATAGAAAGTTATTGTGTTAAAATCCAACATCACAAAAAAAACTACATAAAGAAAATGTATATAAGTACTTGATGCGTTGACGAGTAGGCCAAAGCCTTTTCTCTTCTCATGGCCGCGATTTGTCTCTGCAACAATCTCGCTTCGATTTGCTCCTTCGATTTTGAACTATAATCCCATTCTTCAATAGGCTGCAAAATTTTTTTGCCACATTAGTACATTTTATAAAAACAGTATCAGTTAAGCACATAATCATAAAAGTACTTACAGCAGCTTGTAACTTATCAAGTTCCTTTTCGCGTTTCTGTTGCAACTGGCGTTGGAAAGATTGATTCTCCTCCGACATTCTGACCTTCCTCGCACTAACTTGAGACTGCAATCGCGAAAGAGTTTGCATACATTGCAACGTAGTAGCCGCCTGTCGTTGAACAGACTTCCCTTTTACCAACGCTTTCAACCGCGCCAAGCCTCTCAATCCGCGCAAAGTCCTCCTGGCCTAAAAAAATATATCGGTCAGAAGATAAGTAAAATCTGAAAAAAACGCGAATGATAGAAAGTTCATACCAAATATCCGCGAAAGGCGCATTGAATTTTCATAGCTGCTATTTCTTGAGCTGGTTTTCCAATATAACAAGGAGGAAGAGTTGCGAGACGAGTGGCCTGAGCAGCAGCCACGGCCGCGCCTGTAGCAACAGCCGTGGCTAAAACTAAAGATAAAGCTTGTTTGTTGCGTTCATCTTCTGTGTTGGTTTTTTTCTGTTTAACAACCGTTTTTCTTCTGGGAAGAGATGGGACAGAAACAACTTCTCTAGATTCCAATTCAGGATCCACATAATGTTCATGATGTCCAAAACATCCTAACTTTGACTTAGTAGGTTGATGAGGTTTCTGTTTAAATAAAATTAAAAATGAATGAAAAATCTTTTATAATATAATAATAATTAATAATGTTAGAGATGATTAAAACCTGATCTTTCTTGGAATCGGATACGAAAATTTTCCTAACAGAAGAAAACCAACTTCCTTTCCTCCCCATGTTCAATTCCTTTATCAAGATTATGAAAATAAAAATAGAATTGAATCAATAACAAGGGAAATGAAATCGAATCAATAAAAAAAACACAAATTAGTTATTAATAATATGGAAAATTGAAGTGTTTTTTTTTGGCATTGTAAGACCTTTGCATGAGAATTGAAAATATTTCTCTGCAAATGAAGGTAAGGTGCCTTTGTGAGAAGAAAAGGAAGGAAGGAAAAAAAAATTGAAACAGAAAACTATTGTTACAGCGAGGATTGGGTGGCAGAATAAGTAGGACCCTAGAATGATTGTTTGTATTAACTCCTAATTTTAACGTTAATTAATTGAATAACAAAATATATAACAACCTCATTGGCTGTCTTTTTTGTTTCAGTTTTTATTTCATGGTATTGAATTTAGGTTTTGTTTTATTAAAATGAATAGAAAGAAGAAAAATTAACTGACATTGTTTGTTTATATTTATTATATTTTTTTTTTGTTTGGGTACAATTTATTCCTATTTTTATAAATGATGAAAAATATAAACTACATTTCTGGTTCCGGTATGGAACAATGACATTGTCTGCGGGAAGCGACATTTGATTCCCGCATACCTTACAATTCCCTATCTCCAAGTACACTCCTCTAGTGTAGGACTCTCTTCGAATTCGAACTAGTGGATTCAACGACTCAAACAAGATTCAGTTACGTTCGATGAAGTCGAGCTCAACCCTGATAAATATACATTGTTTCTTCAGATCTTTTTTTCCTTGGCAGCCGCTGGTGTGATATCATCAATCACCAGTTAGCCAAACATTACTCTCTCTACCGGCGAAGCGAACCTCAATAATAACACTCTTCAGCAATCAAACGCGATTCTCCATCTACCACGGGCGAGAACAATTCAAACACACAACTACAGATTCCATGTCTAAACCCCAGGGAACAAACCGAGATCTCGTGAGATTTTGGTATTCTTGAGACAAACTAGAGGTGGCAAAACGGGCCACGCACCTTGTCCCTCTCTGCCTTAAGTCCGTCAAATAAGGGGGCGGGGCGAGCAAGCCCACCAAGTGAAAATGGACTTAAAAATCTAGCCCACCCCGCCAAGGTGTCGGGTTGGCGGGCGGCGAGCTTGCCCACCTATTTTATTTATTTATTTTTCATTTTTTAATAGATTAATATGCTTATTTTTACATTTCAATTATATTTTTTTTACTTACTTTTTAGAATAATTTTTTATAAAGCATCTTTTTAACAAATTTTAGTTAAAACAATATTGCATATATTCATAAATAAATGTATAAAATAGAATCATCAACAAGTATTCTAAAATATAGTTCAAGTATTAACCTTAAAAAAAGAAAGAAAGATTTTAGTGCTTGATAACTATGTTGGTGGACTGGCGGGTCAACCCGCCCTTTTTTTGCGGGTTTAAGGCGGGTCAGCTAGGTGGGCACAAAATTCCAACCCAACTCGCCATTTTTTGGCGGGTGTGTGGGCCGACTTGGCGGGGAACGACCTGTTTTGCCACCCCTAAAGCAAACCTCAGATCTCAAGGTGCGAACAAATTGATTAATGGAATTTACAACATCGTTTAACAACAAAACTCCAAGGGGATGGAAGAAAGGTTCACGCGTTTGGAAGAAAGCCTCCAACACGTTCAACCCCGAGCAAATACTATTAGAACAAGATTTTGGTTATGCATATAATCTCTAGTTTTTATGATAACAATGCATATATTTTATATGTAACAATTTTGTACTCTAATAATTTTTCTGAAGTGTGAAGATATAAAGTTTAATTTGATTCTGGATAGTTCTCTAGAAATACCATAACTTAAAGAAAGCATATGTTCCAAAGCATATGTTCCAAAGCCTATAACTTAAAGATGTTGGGTGTTGCACCCCAAAATTTGACCAACAATTATTTATTCATTGAGTGTTTGAAAGTTGATACCTTCATCAGACAGTTCAAGAGATCCTCAGAGGAGTGGGTTGAAACCAGGGTTGTGTGCTTCATAGCTTGAGAGTTGTGGGTGCTCCTCAGATGATTCTGAGACTTTGAGAATGAACTTGATGTTTTGAGAAAGCCTATGAGATGTCTTGATAGCCATCATGAAGCCCAGAGAGGTCATTGTGCAAGAGTTCAGAGGATTCAACCATGAATGGTAGAATTAGGGTTTTGACTGGGTCAACCCTAGGATAACTGGAGATTTGGAGAAGGTTGAGACCTAATCCAAAGGCTATGAGATCATGGAATGATGCATAGAGATGTTATAAAGATGATTCCTAGACCAACTCATCATGATTGAGGAGTTTGAGAAGTTTTGAGTTAGGGTTTCTGAGGATTGTCAGTAAAAAAACCCTAGTTTGATCCCTATCTTCCAGGCAGTTTTAGCTCTAGATGGGATTGATATCTCATCTTCCCCACAACATGAATGTTGTAGAGCTTGTTCTTAGCTTTAATTTGAGTGGTGGAAGTCCTTGATAGGAGTTACAGAGCTCAAGTTATGGTTTTGACAAATTACAGGTCAGCAGAGGTGTGTGAATCTGGGTCCTTGAAAGTCACCCAACTTGCAGACAACCTTTTCCCTAGTAGGATGATTCCTATGATCTCTTGGTCAACATGAATGTTGAAGAGCATCTCCTTAGCTTTAATTTGAGTGGTAGAAGTCCTTGATAGGATTTGTGGAACTCAACTTATGGTTTGAACAAGACAGGGGTATTTTGGTCATTTGTCAGTTATAGGTCATTTTAAGCAAAGGCCATATCTCCTATTTCCAAGCCTCAAATGGAAAAACTCAAAACATGAAAGTTGTTCAAAATGTGATTTTAAGTCTAGAAAGAAGGTCATGAATTGTTGGAAAAGCTCATAGCATGGATTTTCATGATTGGTCAAAAATGAACTAAAAATGGCTTATAAGTTTAAAAAGTTGAAATTGGAAATTGGTTTGGAAGATCTAGGAATCCAAAATAGGTCATCCAATATATCATTTTGATTGGAAACATCATTTTGAGAACATTGGTTTAAATAGAATTTTCATTTGAAGCTTTAAAATGGGACATGCTTTGGAAAATTGAAACTTGCATATTAAGGCACCTTTGGAAATCTTAACACAAGGCAAGAAAGAGGTTTGTTTTTGTACATTCCTTCTCAATATCTCACATAAGGAGAATTTGACACCAATTTGCAAGGTTTAAGGCATGATGCATGGGATTTTCAACTTATCACCACATGAGAAAATCAAGACTTTTCTAGCACTTTCTAGAAGGATCTAGGAGCTTCCATCAATCACTATAAGAAGAGTGATCCACAAGTGATTAAAGGTTGGTGAAGGTTGAGAAATTCAGAGGAGAAAGAGAGAGAGAAGTTGCCATTGAAGAGTTTCCTTCAAGATCAAGCAACTTGGGATTTCTTTCACTACAAGCTTTCTTCTCCAAAACTACTGCAAACAAAATCATTTCCACCATTGGAGGATCATCTAGAAGAAGAGGCAAGCACTGAATCGTGCCCTACATCATTCTACCATAGCTTCTTGACAGGTTGGTAAATGCATTCACTTCTCTTTAATTATGCATGAACAACTTAGATTCTAGGTGTAGATTTGTTAAGGTAGAATAGGTGATCAAATCCTGAGAATTAGGAGGCATTTCATGGAGTTTGATAGCAGGTGCAAGAATCTGTTATGGTCAAGAACAGGCTAGATATTTGGTTTCATGGCACGATGGATAGCTCATTGTGATGAGCATAGCATGTAGAGCAAGATTGGGGCATTAATTTTAAGTTTTAGAGGAATTGATCTCAGTGAGATATGGTGGTACCAAGATCTTCTAGCTCTCTGTTAGGATGATCCAGGAAGAATTAGAGAGAGCTACGCGTCCAGTTTTGTTCCTTGTAATCAGTAGATCATTTTCCTTTTTGGAAGTTTTGAATTTCTTCAAGTATCGTGGGAGATATAGGAGAGGGAAGGTCTGTGCATGGAAGAATGGTTTTCTAAAAACCCTAGGTATTTGGGGACGATGGCCAGATGCCGTTGGATTGGTCCCCACATTTTGACTAATTCAATTCATCCAACGGCCCAGATGCATTAAGAAATTGGAGGGGAATTTTCAAAAATGGAAACGCAGTCGTTTGGTTTAGTGAGCGCGTCTGGGCTTGATGGGTCCAGCTTGCTACGCGCACCCCCCCCCTTTTTCAGCCCATTCAGAATATCAACTAGCGCGTCCTGCTATTTTCACCCCCTCCCCTTTAATTGTTTTCTTTTTCTTTTTAATTCTTTTAATATTTCTTACTTTTATAAAATTCATAAAAAATAGAAAATTTAATATTTTTTAATTCTTGTTTTTCCTATATGTTAATAAATCTGTCTAGAAAATTATAAATAAATAAAATGTCCATTTTATTTTCTTTTCACATTTTTAATAGATTTTTCTTTTAACTAGCTTTTAAAATAGGATTAATTTTGCACATGATTTTGTAGAATTTGTTTTAGGACCTTCCTTTAATCTTTTTAACTCATTCTTTTTTGTGTAATTAGATATTGAATCATAGTTCCCCATAGGATTTAATTCTTGATTTTTTAGATTAAAATTTGATTAGTTTAATTAGGGTAGCATTAGGGTATCCTAATTAGGGTTTAGGTTGTGCATAGGTGAGGAAATTCATTTTCTTTAGATAATTTTGTCTTGATTTTTGGGTAGGGGCATATGTGGATGTTATGGGTAGATGTTGTAGACCCTTGTGAATAATTGATAGATTTTTCCCCTTTGGTTTAGTATTTTTAGGTATTTTCTGAAGTTGCCTATTGATTTTGTCTGTTTTGTGGTTATCTGTTCATCTCTGGGGTTTATTTTGGGGAATTTGTTGTGGGGGTTTAGCTTGTCTTGAAGACCTTGTTGAGGAGAATGATGAAGAGAAGATTGTAGATCAAGACTCAGAGACCCAGAGCTTGGCTTGTTCCCTGTCTGTGAGGTTTGAGATCTTGAAGTTTGAAGGAAGTTCATGGTACTTTCCTG